TATATATATATATATATATATAGATGACATCCAATAAATATTTATAATATTATAATTATAAATAAGATTATCTATTATAATGTATATGATAACTTATATATTAATAAGAAAGTAAATGTATTGACAAGTGATGTAATACGTATTACGTGTGTGTGTAAGTGTAGATAATGTGAATGAGGTACATGTAATGTGTGTGCAGTGAATGATGGGGGGAGAATGCTATATGTGTATAAGAATAGATAAAAATGTGTGTGCAGTGAATACGTGGCATGTGAAATAGGAATAGATAAAAAAGGAATATAAGGACAGTGAAATGATGAGTAAGATAAATATAAACGTGAGGTGGAGAAGCTAAGCAAGTACCGCAGTAGATAATGTATAACATGTAAATGTATAGTGTAATTAATTGAAGAGCACAGAGGTTATGCAGGCCCTTACATAATCCAAGGGGTATTACACCCCTATAAATAGGTGTTACCATTGAACCGTTCAAGCATTGTGAAAAAAAAACAAGAACGTAGAAAGAGAAGTACGTGAAAAAGAAAGACCCTGTGTTAGAAACAATTTTATATCTACTAAGGTAAGGAGGAGGAGAACTTTATCTCTTTAATTTCATATACTTTTATATTTATGTTATTTTTATCTAGTGAGGTGTCCCTAATCTCATTTATTTGCTTAATCTATGATTATTTTTATCCATAATAATTGTTAAGGTGTTTATATTTTATATTGTTTAATTATGTTATAATAATTATCATTGTCATTTAATTAATTGATACTCTTAATATATTTTATTTAAGTATATGCTATTTAATCAAAGCTTAAATAATGATAAATTCTCAAATTTATTTAGCGTGATTATTTTTATGATTAGTTATAATATAATTTTGTTAAAATGTCTTTGACTCGTTTTAAAGATAAATATTACTCTATGGCCATAGAAGATAAAATTTGAATTAATTTATAGCTGGAGGTTTAACCTTGGGGATTTAAATGAGTAAGAAATTATGATTAAAAATTCTTGCACTGGTTGATATTATTATGCTCATTTATCGTGACTAGTCACTGCAAATGTAATTCAAATTTTATATATATTGTTTAATATTAACTATTGTTACGCATGATTATAAATATTTCTTTGAAAAATGTTCTCACTCCTTATGTTTCTTATGTAATATAATAATTAAATAAATAGAGATGGATGTTCCAGCGATCCCCGCTTCTTTTCCTTCAGTAATTTCTGCAGTCTTCTCTGGCACAGCATGGGGTGTTGATGCTCTAGTCAACTCAGTAACTTTCAATGGAGTAGCTGTGTCTTCATTCACCTTTTCTCCATATCAAGAAATTTCCACGGTGATAGATGGACCCATCGTTGTTACATTTTACTTACCCCCAGCAAATCACGTGAACTTTATCGTAAATTTGTTCCAACCACCCATGTAATTATTATAGCGCCTTATGTGTTAGGATTTTATCGTTTTGAACCTTTGCAGGAAAGACAACGTTCGTGAAAAGGCATCTCACCGGCGAATTCGAGAAGAAATACGAACGTGAGATTCTTTATTTTTTATTTATAGTTAAGTCTTCATCTTTAATTATCTGCGTTTATCTCATTTGTTCTCTTGATTTTGCTTGTCCGAAACAGCCACCATCGGTGTGGAGGTTCACCCGTTGGACTTTTTCACAAACTGTGGAAAGATTCGCTTCTATTGTTGGGATACCGCTGGGCAAGAGAAGTTTGGTGGCCTCAGAGATGGCTATTAGTAAGTTTTTTGTATTTAGTGTTTAGGGTTTCAAATTTTTGCGTGAATAAGAGTAACAGACTATGTTTATTAATCAATATGTCCTGTGTGATTGGAGTTGCACGTTTGATGATTTGCACCTAATGGGGAAATGTGAATGTTTTTGTTGTTTAATGCTTAGAATCATATTTGAGGGTCCTTCTGTTTGCATGTTGTGAGATTTCACCTGTGTTTTTGCATGTTCATGGATTAGCTGATTATGTCTTTTTGATTACCTGTATTTCTATCTATGACGAGATGGAACCACAAATTTCGTTATCTTTTATCATAGCGTGTCGACACTTTGCATGGTTTTTACAATCACAACTTTTGCATGTGTTAAATGTAAAATTTGGTGCCTGTGAACATTTATGGATGTTCATTATCTCCACGGGTTTTACTTTTATCAGTACCGTAGAATTGTAGTTTTGCATGCTAATTACCTGCTTCTGCAATCTTAGTTTCTGCAGGGATGACTTGGTTAGATGTAGGAAATCTACCATTTAAGAACTGCAATGAAATGCTTGATTTTTTCCATTGGAGTTGTTTGTGAAGGTTTTTTTTATTTTGTTGTGATATAAATCCCCTAATCTTTTTCTTTTACATTTGTTTTGCTCCCTAACTAGTGCTTCTAACATGATGTCTTATATTGCAGTATCCATGGTCAATGTGCGATTATCATGTTTGATGTTACTGCACGACTAACATACAAAAATGTCCCTACCTGGCATCGTGATCTTTGTCGGTTCGTTAATGAAGTCTTCAAAGCTTATCTATCAGTTTCATCTCTAATTATTTAGCACCGAGTTATTTATATTAGATAATGGACATTTTCTACCCAAATGATTTTTCAGGGTCTGTGAAAACATCCCAATTGTTCTTTGTGGTAACAAGGTTGATGTCAAGAACAGGCAAGTGAAAGCAAAGCAGGTTACCTTCCATAGGAAGAAGAATTTGCAGTACTATGAGATATCTGCTAAGAGCAATTATAATTTTGAAAAGCCGTTTTTGTACTTGGCCAGGAAACTTGCAGGGTAAGGACAATGCTGCAATTTTTAGTTTCTATATGTTATAAGAATGGTATAATTTTTTAAAGGCATTTCAGCTTAAATTTTGCTACGTTTGTCATTTTTGCAGGGATACTAACTTACACTTTGTAGAATCTCCTGCATTGGCTCCTCCCGAGGTTCAAATTGATTTAGCTGCTCAACAACAGTAAGTTACCCGTCATTAACTGAATTCCTTTTTCAACAACCAGTAATCTTGCTCCCGACTCATGGCTTTCAGCATGATGATTACATACATAGATTATACAATTGACGAGTTTCATTTTGAATTTAAAAATATTCTAATAGTGAATTGCCAGCCATGATGGATATTGGATATTGTGTTATTTTAGGTTCTATAAACAAAGCACACAATTTCCATGAGTTGTTTCCTATAGCGACAGATTCTAAGTAATTTTATTCTTGGTCAAATGGAATTGTTCGTTTTAGATTTTTTATATTGTATGTATTGGTGGCTTTTGCAGGCATGAGGCTGAGCTTGCTGCAGCTGCTAGTCAGCCCCTTCCTGACGATGATGATGATACATTTGAGTAGGAAATGTGCGTGTGGTCCATTTTCCTGAGTAGTTACTGGTACTTGTGTATGCTACAATATGTGAAGATTTTGGGTTGTATTATCTATTGACCCTTTTGGACGTGGATTTGGGGATTTAATTTCAATCGTTATGAGGTGTTTTGCTTAATGTTTGGTTATCGCGCTACGCATTCGTTTTGTTTAGTATGTCTGACGCATCTCGACACGAAAAGATTTTTAGTTGTTTGCTAACCTGTTTTGAACCGAATAATTTCAATAAGACTACTTGCTATTAAACATTTGAGAAAATAACAGGTTCTTTGGTTTCCGCTTGGTTTTACAATAGATTTTTCAAAATCACGATGAGAGCAGTTGATATGATTTTATATAAATCTTTACACTTTTGATTTGATTGAGTTATTGATTTTGATCGAGTTGAAACAATTTTAGTTAGTTGTGCATCAGACGGGTTTTATTAGTATCTTTTTACTATCAAAGTAGACAATTTTCTTGGTCATGTGGGAGTAAGCTTTTCATTTTTGGGCCATGGTCTGTTCTTCTAATCGTTCTAGTTTGCGATTGTCGTTGCTAGCGTTCAATATCTTTTTATGTGATGATTTGCACCTAATGGGGAAATGTGAATGTTTTTGTTGTTTAATGCTTAGAATCATATTTGAGGGTCCTTCTGTTTGCATGTTGTGAGATTTCACCTGTGTTTTTGCATGTTCATGGATTAGCTGATTATGTCTTTTTGATTACCTGTATTTCTATCTATGACGAGATGGAACCACAAATTTCGTTATCTTTTATCATAGCGTGTCGACACTTTGCATGGTTTTTACAATCACAACTTTTGCATGTGTTAAATGTAAAATTTGGTGCCTGTGAACATTTATGGATGTTCATTATCTCCACGGGTTTTACTTTTATCAGTACCGTAGAATTGTAGTTTTGCATGCTAATTACCTGCTTCTGCAATCTTAGTTTCTGCAGGGATGACTTGGTTAGATGTAGGAAATCTACCATTTAAGAACTGCAATGAAATGCTTGATTTTTTCCATTGGAGTTGTTTGTGAAGGTTTTTTTTATTTTGTTGTGATATAAATCCCCTAATCTTTTTCTTTTACATTTGTTTTGCTCCCTAACTAGTGCTTCTAACATGATGTCTTATATTGCAGTATCCATGGTCAATGTGCGATTATCATGTTTGATGTTACTGCACGACTAACATACAAAAATGTCCCTACCTGGCATCGTGATCTTTGTCGGTTCGTTTTAATCTCAAAATTTTAAGATATTATTTAAATATAGAATAATATTATTTTTTAAGGATGTTTAGAATTAAAAATATTGTACTTATTTTATATATTTATTTTTCTCTTGTAATGTTATAATACAAAGTCAGTAAATAGATGTTCTTAAAATGAGAAGAATTACCTAACTTATAAAAAGGATCACTATTCTAAATGAGAGATGGAATCATATAAGAAAAAAATATCTCAAATTACACGTTTAACGTGAGACAAAAAATAATAAAATTGACATTTGAAATTGTGATGTTAAGCGTGAAATTTCACATTTAACATAACAAAATGAATCAACTTTATGAACTCTCTAGAAAGTTGGTGCTAAACATGAGATTTCTTGCTTAACGTCAATACTTAGCCAAATTTCCTCTTCTATCTTGATGCATAACCAAACTTTTTACTTGTTTCTTTCAATGTTTCTTACCTTTTTCTTTCACATCTACAAATAACAGAAAAAAAAACTTGTAAATATCTTTAAAGCTTAAGTTTTAAACTAAAGCTAACTTTCTATAAATTAAGATAAATTTGGATTAAATCATGCTCGAGCCAAGAGAAATTAAGACAAGTACTTCAATTTACACTATAAGGTTAAAACAAATATGGAACTTATCAATGACCTGGTAGTTGGTTCACATGAGAGACAAGATTTGGTTTGTGATGGGAGTAAGGGACTACGGTGAGCATTCAAAAAATTTAGATGGTGTTGTTGGGGGTATTGGACAATGGGAGTGGGTACATAGAATGATGGTTGTAACCATGGTTGAATTGTTGATGGTTGGGGTTTAATGTGAGAAATTATAGTGGTTGGAGTTGAGAGATATACCATGTTTGCAAAAAATGATTGGACTAATAAGGGGTGCAAGGGTTTTTCATAATGTAGTATAAATGTTAGTATGATGGTGATGACTTTGAATGTGGTCAGGGGTTAGATTTGCCACCAGTTAGGAAAATGGTGTGGAGCTATTGGTAGGGTGGTGGTGTCAAGTATCATTGTTAAGAAATTAAAAGGCTATAACCACTCCACCACTAAAATTTACCTTTAAAAGTTATAGGAAAGATAAACATAAATTGAGATATTTTCGTTCATGTTTCCAAAAGTTAAAAAAATACATTATTAGTTACATAAATGATTTATAAGTTTGATTATCTAGTATTTAGAGAATTAAAATTATAAATTATAAGATATTCTTATATTATCCTATTAACTTAATTTAATTTTCTTCTTTTGAACTTTATAATAAGTATCAATTTTATTTTATGCTTGACATAAATTCATGTTACATAGAAATGACTAAAATGATAGACATGCGATGATTTAGAACTATTTAATAGTATCCATCTTTGGAGTAAACCGGATGAAAGCACCCATCAAGATTCAAAAGGTTATGATTTTTATGAAAGCAACAAAAGGAGTTGCTTAATAGAATCAGAGAAGGTTTTGTCATAGAACACATTACGCAAAGCCATTTACTTTTGGAAAAAAAAATATTTTTTTTAAGAACAACAATTGGACAGTTAAAAGTTGTTCATTTGATTTTTCATGCATACTTTTAAAATATTAATTTAATATAAAGTATTACGAATTATTCGGTATAAACTAGAACAGTAGTAAATCCATGTCTTACATGGTTAAAGTAAAAAGACGAGAGAGAAAATAATAGATAATAAGTGTGTAAAGGAAGAAAAAAATAAGGTAAGTCTAAAAGTACCTGGTGGTGACACGTGGCGGAATTTCGGAGAGTTTTTATATTACGTACTATAAATACTATAAATTATTATGAGTCATTTTTTGATGATAATTTAGCATAAAGTATTACAAATTATTTAGCATCTAAGTGGATTTTAATTTTGGCAACCATTTATTTTCATTTGTTTTGCTTTCTAATTTCTAAGTTTTGAAATTAAGTCTGAGGCAGCTTATTTGAGTTTAAAAATTACGTCATTAAGCTATTCTAAATAAGACTAAAATAATTGGAGTAAATTATTTACTCTCTGAGATTGTATTTTGTTATCACATTAATATTTGAAATTAAGAAAAATTTAAATAATTCTTTGAACATTTTTAGAGTTTTATTTAAGTCTTTAAAATTAAACACTATTTTTTTTTCTTTTACTTTAGTCTCTATTCTAAGGATTTAAGTGATAATAATAACCAATATTTAGGAATCAATATAAAAGAAAAGTGATTAATTTTGTATACTTAAAATAAAATTCTAAAAATTCATAAATTTTTATAATTTTTTTAAAATTTTGGAGACTAATATGAAAATACAATATCAAAAACCAAATCACTTATTTATTCAAATACTTTTGGTAAAAGACAATAATGGATCATAAGCATTTACCGACATAAATAAACTCAAACAGGTTTAAAATAGTATCATTTAAATGGGAACTTATTAATAATTTATACTCTCTTTAGGGATGTTGAGTCATGGACAAAAACTCAATGTTTATATTTTCTTAACTTTAATATATATATATATAATGTAGACTCGTTCCTAGAATTTCATATATATATATATATATATATATATGAAGAGAAATCTATTTATTTTAAGGAGATATATGTTAAAGGAAAATATTTTTTATACCCAAGAATCATGATTATTGGGAATTATAAATATTGGAAATCATAATTTTTTAAAAATAGTTAAAATATATTTAGTTACTCATAAAAGATTATTAAAAATATTCATATAGAATTCACATAAATTAAATATAGAGATAAAAATAAAGAAAAAGAGGATGAAAGAGAAATAAAAGGTGAGAGAAAAAGAAAGAGATTTTATATTTTAAAAAAAGATAATATGATCTTTTTATATGTATTATACTTTTCTCCTAATTTGGGAAAGTTAGATTATCATCCTCTCATGGAAATGTTTTTGTAGAAAAGTGAGATAAAAATGATTATTGAAAAATTACATTCTTGATATATATTTTTTAAATAACTATCAAACATAGAAAACTAAGATTCCAATTTTAGGATTTCTAGGAATATAAAAACACTCCGCATATCAAACTTTCTCTAAGAGTAAGTCTACATAGGCTTATTTTATTCAGTAACCTCTACATTAAATTTCAACAATCCAACCATTAAATTTAAAATTCACAATACATATATCAAATTTGCAAATTTCTTAAAATTTTGAAAATCATTTAATATTTTACTTCATTAATTTAAACCAATGTATAAAATATTTTTATAATTATCTGTCAATTTATATTAATGAAATAAAACATCACATATTTTTAATTTTTAAAAATTTATAAACTTAATTTATACATTAAATTTTTTTTAATTTAATTATTAAATTAATAAAATTTAATACAAAACATTAATTATAAAATTAAAACTCACGACACACTTGACTTGACTTTTTTTATTTTATTTTAATGTTTTTACTTGATTTATATTACAATTATGAAAGAGAATCCTATAATAGTGGGATCATCACACACGCATACGCCTTTGTTACGCCTAAATTACATTACCAATTGTGTGCCACACCCCACAACACACGCCACCTACATTCCTACCCTCTTACTATTTTCTCCATGTTTTTTAATGTCTACATGTAAGATTCATTTCCAATTAAGTTCATTTCATAGATTTTTAAAGTAAACCAATCTTTTCCAATAGTATTTTTATTTAATTAAAGCGTGAATAATATAATTTGAATATAATTTGTTACGCCTAAATCAATCTTTTAAAATCATTTTATATACAAAACACTACAAAAAATGTTACATGTAGTGACATACAAAAAGTGTCACTATAGGTACAATATATGTAGACATATAGTTATACACAATTTTATTGTTGATTTTGAATGAGATTTAACAACATATTTTGTGTGTCACTATAGTCTATACCCACACTTTTTAATAATATATCATCATATATTGTAGTTATTGTGTGGGTAAAAGTAATTTTTAGTGATATCTATAGTGTCACTACAAGGTGTGTGTCACTGTATAACAATTTTGATGTAGTAAAAAAATAAAGCATGAATATTAAAAATAATTGTCATTAAATTTAATATACAAAATTAAAAGGTATAAAATATAATATTTTTAAATATACACTAATGCTTTAATTAAAATAAATAAATAATCTACTAAAAGTTTGTCATACCTATGTAACATATATAGACATTAATTAGTACTACACTAGCATAAATAGGTAGACAGGGATAATTTGAAAATGATAAATATAAGAAAGGAATATTACAGTACTTTACCAAATCCTGCATGGATTCCATCCTTGAAGCAACTTCGTGACCCCTTCAATGGCCATCAATTTCTAAGAGTACATTATGATGTATCCATACAATACTTTTGAGTTGCATAATTTTATCTATTATACACATCTCACAAGGTGGTGGATCTTTTCTTCCCTGAGACGGTAGAATATTTTTTTAAGAGTGAAATACCATTTTATACAGTTTTTGAGTTTGTGAGTGTTGTCATAATAATCTTTAAGATGAAAAAAATGATAATTAAAATAATCTTTAAATTTTTTATTTTTATTACACCACAAGTCATGTTAGTGGAATATTAACCTTGTCAGTTAATTAATGAACTGGTATGTTACGTGGCACATATTCAATGACATGATCAAAATACTGAGTCGTGTCTTCATATAGGAGGTATTTATTTATGGATCGATTTGCTTCAAATTTTGGATAAATTAATTTTAAAATTAATTAATTTTATTTAATTTGGTTTGGATGAAATTTATAAAGAAATTTACATTCCAAACTAAATCAAATCAATCAACAATATCTTGATTTTGTTCGGATTAATCAGTTGACATATATTTTTATTTAATGAATATAATTTATAAGTCAATTTTTATCGAATAAATGTAAATTTACAATATAAAATAAACAATATAACATTAGTTATGTACTTAAAAAATGAGAAAATTGGAATTAAAAAGGATATGAATGGTATATGTTTGTGTATTAACCTCGCTGACAACGTAAACTCAGTCATACACTTATATACCTATTTCATTGGATGATGCAAGCTCAATCATATATTTTATGTTATTGTCATGTTGATGACATCAAACATTTGTATCGTCAAGGTGATATAATAAGTTCATATACCAAGTTCATGTGTCAACATGTGGACTTAACACACATGGTAACTGTCGCGATTACAAAAGTAAAGAAAATGAACAGATGTAGTTAATACAAAAAAGAGGTACGCATATATAAAGAAAAAGAGAGATTATACCGGACATCCAAACTAGCTTGATTGTTAGAATACCTTTGTAGGTATCAACACTATTTCAAAACAAGGAGTCGAGGAGATTTATTTCAACCTTGAAGGAGAAGACTGAAGATCAATCTTATGAAATAAGCTCTTCGTTTAAGTTTATCTTGATAAGAACAATTTGTATTTTTTTATATAAAAATACACTTTTTTATTTTTACATTGTTATACACTACTTAAATAATAAATTATACAATTTATTTACTACAATTTTTTTATTATATACATTTATTTATTTTATTAATTTTAAACTAGATTTAACATCAAATAAGAATTTTCAAAAAACACTATCTCATGCTATAATATTATATATAATATAGTGTTCATATTATGACTTTAAAAAAGAGATAGTGGAAAAAAAGCTTTTAAAATTGGTTATTTTCAACTTTTAAAATCGATTCCCTAACCGATTTTAAAAGAGTCAATTTTAAAAGTCAACTTTTAAGATCGGTTATTTTATAACCGATCTTAAAAGTCTTGGCTTTGTAAAAATTAAACTGGAACGGGCCGTTCCAAAACTGGAACAGGTCATTCCAGGTTGTTAAAAAGGCCTAAAATTGTAGTTTGGAATAGGTCGTTCCAGTATAGTTTGTCATGAGTTAAAAGTAATGCAGAACGGGCCGTTTTGATTACAGAACGGGTCATTCTCATTATAGAACATGCCATTCTCATTAAAGAACGGGCCGTTCCAGATTCAAAATTTACCCAAAATAAACCAACCACGAAACTAGAGACACAAGAAGAACATGAGAATGTTACCTAGATATACTACATATAAAATCGGTTCTTAAATAACCGATTTTAAAAGCAACACTTTAAAAATCGGTCATAAAATAATTGATCTTAAAAATACTTTTAAGATCGGTTATTTTATGACCGATCTGAAAAGTTATGTCTGATACAACTTTTAAGATCGGTTTTTTTGTAACCGATCTTAAAAGTTGTGTCAGACATAACTTTTAATCAATCTTAAAAATGTTCACATTATTTACAAAATTGTTATCGCGTCACTTTTAAGATCGGTCACCTTTTAACCGATCTTAAAATCTCAATTTTAAAACTAATTTTTACATTAGTGATAACTTAATATTTGAATAATAAATTTAATAGTAAGAATTATAGATTGTAAATGAAGATACTTTTACTATATTTTTTTAATTATATCTTTTATCACATCGGAGAAACAAAACTCAATATGTATAAATATTAACCTTGAAATGAATATTAACAATGCATGTACTATTAAATTTATCATTTATAATTTTGTCATTTATATTTTTATTTGTGTGTCAATTGGGTTGACCTAACTCATCAAAATGCCAACATGCTTTGGAGTAATAAAAATTCATATCGATTGGTCGATTAAAGTAAACTCAAACTTACATTTGTATAGCCTAAGCTAACTAGTTCATCGATTTCGACCACTTTTAACACCCATCAAAATTGGTCCTTGACTTGTTCACGATTTTGGAAGGAAGAAATTATGAGGCAGTTAAAGACCGTGAAACAATTAAGCTATTTATTTATTTTAATGTAGAAATAAAAATTAATAATATTTATTTTTTTTAATGTAGAAACTAATCACCATCTAATAATTTCTCCCCAATAGTGCAAGTGAAAATACAATTAATTATGATTATTTATATTTTTCTATTTCCATTATTGAATGTGTATATTATAAATAAAGAGTGGAGATCCTTTTCATGCATTTTCTTTATTTTCATACACAATCCAAGTTTAATTTTAATGATAACTAGATTACTTTAAGGAGTGCGATCCAATTTATAATCATCCCTTGTCTCTTTTCTTTGGGTCTACTTGTACATAAATTAATTTTTTTTATACATAAATAGATAAAGGGAGAAAAAACAAAAATAGACCCCAATTAAACCCTCAGATGGGGCAACCCAATAGAATTAACAAACAAAAGAGTGTCTAGAAAAGTATAGGCTCAACAGTCAAAACCTCGAACTCTCCTTAATGTGATGCTCTATGCTTTGCCAAAACATTTGCACACATATGTCCCTCTTTAAAAGTATGTGAGAGGAGCAAAAATTTAGACCATTTCTCAATTTGTGTATGTCATCCTCATCATGCAAAAGTCATGCTAATCTTCTATGTATTGTTCTAATCTTATCAGATGATCTTGAAAGTAATGTACATAAGTTATTTGGTTAACTAATGGAAAGGGGGGAAAAAGAAAAGTACCTTCTACACTTTATGTGGGAGGTCTTAAAGAAGAAAATGAAGCATGACCCTTGTTTTCATGTATACATCTTTGCACGGCATGCATTGATCATGATGCTACATCACATGCTTTGCTACTCTTGGCCAATTAGGATTCTCTGAGGTGAACAAGTTGACTCTCCAAGATTGACCTCTTTCCACTCTACCATGAGTTGCATTTATTCACTATCTTTTATTCACGACTATGGAGATGAAGTTGCATTTGAGTTTATTGAAAGGAAGATTAAGGGGATTGATACACCATAAAATATAATTACTTTGTTACTTTGAGTATTATAAGAGAAAAATCTTTACAGGCCCTATTTGAAAATTGAAGTAGTTAAGGTGTGCAATTTGTTAGAATCTAATTAAGGGACTCATGTCAATGGAATTTATAAGATATTGGATTCTCTTATTAAAATGGTTATTTATTTTAATCACGGGATGTACCCATATCAATTGTATTGATTGTGGTTAATCATATGAGATCTGTCACTTTAATTGTGTCTTTTATCTATTTATAAGCTTCAAATTTAAGATCTTGAATACATATTTTTATTAATTGAATAAAATTTATTAAAAATTATAAAATTATGAAATTGTATTTCAATAAAGTGTGAGATCTATCAAATTTTAACTAAATAATCAAATAAAATATGTTCAAAGAAGTGTAAAACATCAACAACTATTGATTTAAGTATTATAAATTTGTGCCTCTATATAATCAAATTTTTAAATCATAATTTTAAATATGAAATAGATTATATTAGAAAGAGAATACCCATATTATATGTACTTACAACTTTTAGAGATTAATTATTACTTTCCAACGATAAATATTTTATATCTATATCATAATTATTAAAAAGATTATAAAACGTATATTACTAACATTTTTCTTCATTAAAAAAGATACAAAATCACGAGGTAAAATGTGAGACAATTTTCGACAATGATCCCGATTCTATCACGATTACATCATCAATATATAGAGCCGATGCACAAGTTGTGGAATATTATTATACTTTTATTGAGTGATTTATTACTTAACTCTTTCCTCTTCCTTTGGCATGATTGTGCTTTGAGGAGAGAGAGAGAAAGAGAAAGAGGAAGCAGACATGCTTAATATACTGTGGGAATGCCAGCAATGGATCATTATAAAATTGAGTGAAATTAGTTTACGCTTTTCAACACCATGGAACTTTTTATTGGATATCACATACATTAGTGTAGTTAGCAAAGGCATCACTTTCTGCATTAGCCAATCAAACAAGATAACTTGCATTAATTTATAAGAGTTGCAATCTCAACAGCAATACATATCATTGATCCTTTAATATTTTTTTTATCGATGTTATATAAATCAAAAATCATTAAACCCATTTATATTGTAGATTAATTGTTTAATAATTGAACTAGAGGATCACTAGCTTGTTGAATTGGTGAAACTAATTTATATTAAAAAAATTAAAAATAATATCGTTATCATAATTTTTGATAAAAGAATTGGTAACATAGTTTGTGATTTGGATTGGGTCATCATCAGTTTTTGCAAAAATTGTCCGATTTGATTCAGTTTAATTACTTTTCCAATTTGATGAGTCAATCGTTTTGGTCAATCCACCAATTTTCGGTCTGCTTGGCTAATTCAATTCAATTAAAGAAACGATTTGTAAAAACATTAACAATGAGAGAGTAAATCTTTTAGGCATATATAATATAAAAATGTAATGAACAAAATAAAAGGAGAATGAACAAACATGATTCATTTTCTCTCTTTGTATGTATACAAAATAATAACATCATTATATTATTTATTTATTACTAGTGAGAAGAAAAGACTATGTGTCTCTGTTAGAAAATAGAGAATAATGAATCTCTCTCATGATATTTTGTGTGATTATTAAAAGTTATATGTAATTATTAAATAAATTGTAAAATACTTATTATATATTTTTTTAGTTCAAAAACTTAATTAAAAATTCTGAAAAATTTCAGGAATCAAATGACATATTAATTATATATATATATATATAATAAAAAAAACTTTTTAGTATATATATGAGATTTTGTATTGGGGCAGACTTCGCGAAGGTTTAGATGGCTGTTTTTTTTCATAACTTGGTATCAAAGTACAGGTAAGATTATGAAATAGACAAATGGCAATGCCATACATGAATAATATATATATATATATATACTTGTATGCTTAAATATATTTATTTTACTGACAAAGTTACATCCAACATTTTTATAAAAAAAATCTAAATTTTAAATTTTGTAATATGTTAATTAAATACAAAATTTATTTCCTAGACATGTTACCAAAAATATTTTATTATTTAGATTATTCTACCACATATATAATGCTTTTTATTTTGTGCATGTGAAAAATAAATATTTTTTATTATTAATTTTTTGGTTTTCGATCTGTAACGACCCGCCTGGCCGTCACACAGCAAACAACACTATACAGAATAGAACATACATATATAAAATAGAATATATACACATATGTCTAGCTTGGGGCTGAAAAGTAATACAAGATACAGCCAAAATACATTGCTACACTAAGTAGCCCAAAAACATCAAACACTAGCTTCATCTGCCAGCTGCAGATCTGCCTCAACACATCGACCTATCCCTGCTCTACTTCTATACACAGTATGATCATTGTAGTACGAACTACATGGAAATAACAAAGGTAAGCTAGTGAAAAGAATCAGCATATGTATATATAAATACATGAATTATAAACAGCTACAACTTATCAGCACATCAATCTAGTTCAGCAAGATTAGCACACAACACATCAATATACAGCTCACATCATTCAACAAAGAAACATTAAACAAACAATGTGTCGTCACGCAAATCAGCTCAGAGATCTCCTACAACAGCTCAGCCTTATGACCTACAACAGCTCAGCCTTACAGCCTATAACAGCTCAGCCTTACGACCTACAACAGTTTATATCAGCATGCAACACAACACAGCATAGCAGGAATAACAGCATACAGCACAACTCAACTTTTACAACAATACAGCTTAAATATCATAATTCAGCATAAACATCTCATAGCACATCAAAATCATCACTCAGCTCAATAATATTCATCAATTTCAGCTTAAAACAACATATTAAAGAAACACACATTTGCGCTCGGCGCACTCATGGTTGCGCCCGGCGTGGCCCAACTAGAGAGCTCCAAGGCTCAAACGCGCTCGGCGCAATTCCAATTGCACCTGGCGTGCTAGGAGGCAGAGACTTCAAAGAGTCTCACACGCCCGACATGCTAAACTCGCTTTCGGCGCAGGGAAGGCAAAGACCTCCCCAAGGTCTCACGACCGGCACAATACCAATTGCGCTCGGCGCCACCCCTGGAAAAGACTCCCAAGGAGTCTCCACGCCTGGCGAGACATAGTCACGCCTGACGCCACACCAGAACCCCAAAAGGTGAGTCACTGACTGATAACTCGCCCAGCGTTGTCCAACCACGCTCGGCGTGAGCCATCTAGAGGCATCCATCCTCAAGCTCGCCCGACGCACACAACCTTGCACCTGGCGGGCTTGACCGATAGGGCCCTCTGATGGTCACGCACCCGACGCCAAGAACTGTGCCCGGTGTGCTACCAAGCAGCAACTCTCCAAGTTCAAAAATTTTCCCCAAACCTACAAAATTCCAACAGCCCAAGCACATGCAAACCATCAAAATAACCACATTTTCATCCAACAACATGAAAACCAAATCATTTCCAACATGCAACCATAAACACATCAAAATCCCCAAATTTTCACCAAAACCTCGAAACCCCGGAAAACACATTTTCTTCAAACACAGCCAATCAATCTTCAAGAAATCAACCACACATGAGTTTAGAACTCATTTCCAACCAATCTAGCAAAAACCTAGCTTCCCTTACATCGGTGAGAAGAAATTCGAGCTCCGGGACAGCAGGAAGAGAAGAAGAAGCTTGAACGGAAAAGAAGAACAAGCTTGAGGAAAGGCACACGGAAGAAGAGAATCGGCTCACTCTCAGCTAGCACCTACAGCCACCAAGGATCAGAGAATTGAGGCCAAAGGCAAAGAGAGAAAATCAAGCAAAGTGAGAGTGAATGGGGAAGAAGAAGAGAGTGAAGGAGAAAGTTGAGAGAGAAGAAGAAAATAGGAATGGGGTCTCACACGATCCATATGATATATCATGAAAATGAATTAAAATAATTTTGGTTTATATTTTCTATTATATCTCTATTATCAATAAATAATCTTTTATCCATTAATTATTTTCAATTTTATATTTTTAATATTTCATTTGTGTTTAAAATTACCCTTCAATATGATATTCATGTTTATTAATTTTCCATAAGTTTTTTTTGCATCTTTGGCTCTCGTACATCTTCTGGGTAGGGGAATATGTCTTGTACGTTGCAATTATCTCAAATACACGAATGAATAGATAAAGGCTCTCAACCAATGAAGACATTTATGTGTATATAAACATATGACCATCCTCTTGTTTGAACGATGTGGAACTTTGCTTGCATTCCAACAATGTGTGTATTGAGTTCAAATATAGGTTTCTATTGTCAATAGACACGTACAATTGCTTTTAAAATATTAAAGACAATGAAACTTAAATGATAATATAAAAAAATTGTAATAATACTTGAAAGCTTTTTATTTTCACTATGTAATTGGTATAAAATATGTACAGACTAATGATAAAAAAAATTCAAATAACTTTTTTGAGAATTAGTATTCATCCTATACTCGGTCTATTATATATATATAGTTTTTTCTCTTTATTTTCAGATTTCATCCGTTTTTTTTAAGGGATTTCATCCGTTTTAATCACTATTATTTAATATAATTTTTAAATAAGTGCGGGCATGACATTGTTATAATTGGGTCTATTCATGATATAAAACAATCTTGTTTCAAGTTTACGAAAAAAAAAATAGCATGTTGTTGGTTCAAACGATATTGTCAATAATATCATAGAGTAATATCCATGAATTTGAAAAGGAATGTCATCTTTTCTTATAATTTAACACACTACGAATTTCTTTTGTTTTCACTTCTCATCATTAATTAAAAAAAAAACACCAAGATCTTCAATATTACAATACTGTTAAAACTTAAGATATTTTCAAGATACAATAACTATTTCTTATTACATTGTCATCAAATAAAAAAAAAATCACCATATATATATATATATATATATATATGTATATATATATATTAAATTTTACAAAACAAGACATAAAATTTATACTTATTATGACTTTTAGTGATCGATAATGTAAAAATATTTTATATTAAGAATGCATGAAGATTAAACTTATATTTTTCAATCTATCCTTATTCAAAGTTTTCAACTTTTAGGATTCAAATATATATATATATATAACTGAATACAATTTCATATATGTTTTGAGAATTGTTCAAATGGAATTTCAATAAAAGAAGTAAATTAAATTGATTGAATTAGTATAGAAAATAATCGATACAATTTTTTATAGTTAAATATGTAATCTTCTACCAAAATATATTTTTATTAAAATTATACATTTATTAATTCTGCCCTAGAAACAGTATATTATTGTGAGTGTCAGGGTGGAATAGTGATTTTGAGTGTCTCTTTCCAATTATATAACACATCTACGTACTCATAACTTGAACTCTAAGTCCACTAATTATCATACGTCTATTAATGAAATTTAATGTGCAGTTGGTTGGACCAAAATGACATTAATAAGTTTAGTTGTTTCAGAACTTCTTGACCCTATAGTCATATGCGGCAATATTTGACTTAACATTTGTATATTTAAAAATTATTTTGAAGTTTAAATTTAAAATAAATATTACTTCAAAAATAAAGAGTAATTGTTCCTAAAACTTCTTGTAGCTAATCTACGTACATAAAGGCTAAAGCTTCCATCAAAAGAATTCAAACAAATGTGCTACTTCCTAACCTAACTCCATATCACTTCGATGGAAAGGGTAATAAATTCCATTTCTTCCTAAATAAATCAACTTCACTCTCTTTTTTTTAAGACCAACTTCACTCTATTTTGTAATTAGAATTTAATTAAAAATTGATTAGATATTTTTTAAACTATTCATCTAAATATAATTTAATTAGTATTTTTAAATTATGCATTCAAATTGATTAAAAGAAAAATGAATATTAATTGGAAGAGAGAAATAATATAAAACATGCATTCCAATTGATTCCAATTGATTTTAAGATATATGAGTACTAATAATTATGAAAGAAAAATAAGAGTAGTTTTAGAAAGAAAAAAAAATATATAAATAAGACAAATTTATTGCAACTAAATTAATTACGGTTTCTGTTCTTGTTCTTATATATAAGATCAAATATCTAATTTATCAAGATTTAGAAAGAAAAAAAAAGTTAATTTAATTGATAATAATAAATTTATTCTATTTATATATTTTTTTAAAAACTACTATTATACTACTTTTCTATCTTACTTAATATTCATTAGTTACATCTCTTAACTAATTATGACGGGTGTTTTATACTAATTCTTTTTTATAATTAATATTGCTTATGCTCCTAACTAATTAAAATACATATATTTTAGAGAGTTTGTTGAGTAAATATATTTTAATTAGTGATATATCTTAGTGTAAAACTAACTATACATATCAAACACTACGATTTGAATCTTATATAAAGGAACAAATAAGTATTAAAAATAAAAATGAAAATAGTATTTTTCATAATTTTGGTGAATTAAGTAATTAGGTCTTATTTATAGAAACAAACATAGTAGTTTGTAACTTCGTTTTCTTATATGTTACCATAGTCATTTTTTCATATATATTTTTTTGAAAAAATTGTTTAATTTTTATAACCTGTTTAATTAAACATGTTTATTCAAAAAAATTTTCCTTTTAAGAAAAAAGTCGGAGTGAAACACTGCTTAAACGTAGGTAAAGTTTAATGTATTAACCAGAATCAGTAACCAATGCAACCTCCTTAGAGTGTGTCGGTGTAGAAAATGAAGGCCAATTAGTGGTGCCATGCACCAAAATAGGAACAAGAATCAAAGTAGCATGTTGTAACAAGCAATGTATATCTGTTCAACAGTGTTTGACTTGATCCAAAGGAAGTTATACAAATTCGGAGTGCCATGCGTCTGTCAAACATTTGGCATATTCTCATCCAACATTGTTCACTAACACTGCCACATGAACCATCAACACTTTCTTGTTTTCACATACGCACATGCATATCCATGTAAATTAATTTAGGTCATGAAATGAGTGCTGCAACGTTGTCTCTGCTCTATGTCTTCAACTCATATAGTGATGATAATTAGTAACAAAAAATACCGTGGGCCGAAACAGGGAAATGAAATGATTCCAATCCTTTGATTCTTTTATTTTTTCCACTGTTCAATTAACATTTAGCATTTAGATAAAGACCAGCACATACTTTACAAGTTCAGATTTTCAAAATTTTATCTCTATTATACATAGATAGAAATCTTGGATAATGATAAATTAATTTGGTAAGATCACAATTCGGGAATATAATTATTATTAAAAAGAATATATTCTCATATGAGTAAGTCATCAAATAGACCTCACGGGAATGAGCATAATCAATCCAGTAAAAGATGATATGCATAGTATATAAATATGTTAAAATCCATATTCCATGCGTCTCTTCCAAATATTTTATTAACTACCAAAATATGGGATATAACTCCATATTTAACACCCAATAAAAAGAATTTGGTTTAGAATTGTTAATTACAAAATCATGGTTAAAATTATAATAAAGTAGAATTTTTTTTTTCTGACACAGATATTTTCAGCACATTAGATCAGATCACTATATTATTTGTTGTTGTTACTCTAAAGAATCATTGCACACGGTTAAGATTGAATACGAAATTTTCACTTGTTTTATAATTATGTGAAAATAAATATATATATATATAAAAAAAAAAAAAGATGATGAAGATGACCACAAAGAGTGTGGAAAAATATAGGGAAGAAAGAGGGTATATTAAAAGCAGAATGGTAGAATGAATAAAATCGAATAAATGCGATTAAATGTATCGTTTTCAACAATGGGGGGAGTGAAGGAGCTGAAACAATAACGGTTGGAGATTCTGACCTTTCACTTGTGTGAGCTTAGAAGCAAGACAATTTAAGGCATTGTTTGGGTGTTTCGGATTTTGGTTTGCCATATCTGGTACACCCCGCACGCCTAGAGATCCTCAAACGCCCTTAAATCTTGGCCGTCCAAACAACCACCGAACTGTGCTCAACCGAGTACACGTGCTTCCTATCATTCCTTGCCCCCTATGCTCTTTTTTTTTTTTTTTTTTTTAATAATTAAAACTACCCTTTTACTCTATTTTATTTTTCATCCATGCATGGAATTCTCCTCCAACTACAACGCCACCAACAAGAGAGAACCAAGAAGATATATAGAGAGAGAGAGAGAAAAAAAAAATAGTCATGGTTAGTGCTTCTTCTTCTTCTTCTTCAGTACTAGCAATGAAAACAACAACCCATCTCTAAAAATTCGATTTTTTTGATTCCCATTAATTTTGTTTGCTTGGGAAACGCGAATTAAGGGGTCTCTTGTTGTGTTGTTGTGCCTTTTCTTTGTGGGTCTGATCTTTGTTGTACTTATGGAACTGTCACATCTGAATGCTTTGATTCTCCTCTGATCATCACCTGGTTAAAAAGCAAGAAGCTTCGTGATCTGTTTTTCTGAACTTGATCTGAATTTGTCCCTTCCCTCATAACTCACTTCTCTCTCTCTCTTCAACCGTTTGTGTCTTCACATGATCATGGAATGTGCATAGCGGATTTTGAGGTAAGTGTCAAAAAGTTTTGCTTTGCTGATCTTGTGTTTGTTTTGTCGCGTGGGTTATATATAATATTCGGATCGGTTTCATTATTCATTGCTAGTACTACTTCTACTACTAATGATGTCGTATGAGGAGAGGAAGTTTGTGTGCAAGTATTGCAGCAAGAGGTTCCCTTGTGGAAAGTCTCTTGGAGGCCACATCAGGACTCACATGATGAGTGAGCACTCTCATTCTCATTCTCGTTCGGTTCAAGGCAATGAAAAGAAGAACAATGTTGGTGGTGCCATGTTCAGGTTTGATGGTGGGAGAAAGAGGAAGAGGGATTTGGGGTCTGAACTTGATGGTGGTGGGAGCAGTAACAACAACATCATTTATGGCCTCAGAGAGAATCCCAAGAAGACCACGAGGTTTGTGCATTCCAATGCCACTTTGCAGCAGCAGCAACAGCTTGACAAGTTCTGCAAAGAATGTGGAAAAGGGTTTCCATCATTGAAGGCTCTTTGCGGTCACATGGCTTGTCACTCTGAAAAGGACAAGAACCGGTTTGAGGGGTTTACTGAGAAGCAGAAATTGGTTATGGATAGTCAATCTGATACCGAAACTTCTGCTCCAAGGAGGTCCAGGAGAATGAGGTTCAAGACCCTTAGCAACAGCAACAACAATAACAACCAGTCTCAATCTTCTTCTGTGTCAGAGGTTGAGCAGGAGCAGGAAGAGGTGGCTAGGTGTTTGATGATGTTGTATAAGGATTCTTGCCATAAGGGTCGTTTTGCTTTGGTCACAGAGTCTTCTGATAACAACTCGGTTGTTCTGGAGGCTAAGTCATCTTCTCTTGAAACCAAGGTTACTATGATGATGAATAGTACTGGTAATGGTAAGAATTCTATGTCTAGTGCTTATGAGTTTGTGGAAGAGAAAAAGAAGCTGGAGCTGGAGGTGGATCACAAGTACAAGCACGAGGACATGAAGTTTAAGTCTGCTGAGATTTGCTATGATTCTGATAATTCAGATTCTGGGTACTTTAGATATGGTCCTAAGAAGGTTGACTCGGATGATTCAAATGATGGGTTTTTCAGGAATGAGGTTAAGTCTTCCAAAGTGGGGTACTTGTCTGGGTTTGAGGAGTATGATGTTGAATCCAGGAAGGTGCTGAGCAGAGGAAGAAGCAGGAGCACTGAATTCAAGAAATTTGCTTTGGAGGATTGGGAGAATGATGGAGAAGATGTTGCTGCAGCAAGGAAATTTGGTTCAAAGAAGTTCAAGAAATCCAACTATGATCAAAATTTAGGTGGGGTTTCTAGCAGGAAGATGGGGAATGGTTATACGAATGGTGGGAACAACAAGTATGAGTGCTTGACTAGTGAAAGGGACAATGGTTCTGATGATTCAGCTTATGAGAGTGATGAGAGCAGCACAGACACTGATTCTTATCCTGCTCCAAAGGCTCACAACAGGAACATTAGTGGTCAAAAGGGGAAGAAGAAGTTGAAGACAAAGAAAAGCAAGGCACATGAGTGCCCAATTTGCAACAAGATTTTCAGGTCAGGCCAAGCCTTGGGGGGTCACAAAAGATCCCATTTTGTTGGAGGCTCTGAGGAGAACGCACTGGTGATAAGGCCAGGTGCTCCTAATGTTCCTTGCCTCATTGATCTCAATCTACCAGCACCTGTTGATGAATAGGGAAAATTGGAGCCTTTGCATCATCTTCTGTTGAGGTAGCTCAATGTCTGGAATTCTGAAAATGTCTTGTCTTTATCCCATATGATGAAAGCAATGACAATGTATAGACAAGTTGGTAATTGATTTTTGTTCCTAAGGCCTTAGATCCATTATTTGGCAGGAGGTAGTCTTTCTTTTCATGTTTATGGAGCAGCAGCATGAGAATTTACTAGTTTCTCAACTGATTTTTTCTTTCTTATTTTTTTTTACTTGCTTTATCAGGTACAACTATAATCTTGGAATCATGTTCTTTTCCTTGCAAATGTTAGTTGGTTCAATGAATTTTTGTCTTCTAATGTTGGGGTCTTCCAATTTTTCATCCTCCTATGGAATGTACTGAAACAAAAAAATAGGTAATTCATTTTGAACCAAGGGTACTCCAATTCTTGGTTCCTATTTGCAATCTGTGACTTGTCTTTTTGGGGGGCATGATTGAGGAGCAAGGATCCTAGTTTTCTCTCTCCAACTGTGACCAAAACTTGCTTTTTAGCTATGTGTTGTTCTTAAGAAAGATCAGGGACCAACACCTTTAATGTTTATCAAAGTGGTTGAAAATGAAAAATTGTCCTTGGTGAAGCATTCCCAAGGCTAATGGTTTTCTTAAAAGTTAAATAAAAACAATTTTAATTTTTAAACACAGGAACGTCTCGTGCACAAGTAGTTACTTTTGCATAGAATTGAGCACTGTGGTCAACCCGTTATGTCCGTGATATGTGCGGCGTTTTGGAAGGTGAAGTCGTAAGGGGAGGCTAAGTAGTTTTCTCACCAAATTTTTTGTTTAACTAGTCCTATTCCTTAGCCAAAGAAAAAGATCAAGTGGTTGTTGTTGGATCATTCTTTAGGTTGAAGATTTGACTAGGAATAATTACTTTGTAGAACTGTGAGGAAACAAAACAAGCTTCTTTATTATTCAAGATCAAAATTTGTGGGTTGAGGTGGTTGTAAGGTCGCCTACTAGTTAAAGGTAGTAAAGCATATAATTGCTCCATGTACACCTTTCTAACACATGTATCTTAATGGCATGAGAATTTGTATGCCTTTTTCGTCATGCCGGTTCCTTTATATTTTGTTGCCTATGTTTTCAATTCTTTTAGTCTTGGGGCGTATGGGAGGACCACTTTGTATTTTACTAGCTCTTGGTCACATGTGGGCTCAATAAGGTAGAATCCATAGGCACTCAAGAAGAATCAAACCCGTATATCAACAGAATTATATGCTCCTATGGTATGTGGAATCATTGCGGGGGAATGAACCACACAAGGGGTGCCTTAATTTGTGCAAATAGATTGATGAGTAATTTAGAGACGGCCTATGATTTCTTATACTATTTTGGTTTCACACAAACAACCATGTTCTAAATTCAATCAGATACTAAATGTTAACACTTTGTTTGATTGTTCATCACATTGAGGAGACTAAACTAGCCTTTTTCACTAGACCCAACTCCCGTAATTAAAATATCCAATTAAATGAGGAATCAAGGAAATAAATTTCATAGAAATTTTTACATGGGTACATTTTGGGTGGTATAAACATTAGTCTATTTTTGTGGGTAGTTTGAAATAAAAAACGGGGAAAAGAAGATAAAAATAAAAGGGTACATAGACGTCACAAGTATTGCTTTGTGAAATTGGAAGTGAAAATCATCAATGCTTAATTCAATATGTAGGTCATCACAGTGACTCTGAGTCATCATGGTTAGTGAACAAGGACAAGTGTTGTCTCTATTACTCATAAAAGTAAATGCTAAACAACCAACTTTTCTGACTTAGTTCTTGTTAAGACAAAAATGTGTACAGTGAATGTTGAGATTGCTCTGGCCGGCCTCTTCAAGAGGGGAATCACAAATTCACAAATCAGAAAGACAAATTGCTTTGGCAATTAATTGACTCAAGTTATCAACAGTGTGGTTTGGATTTGGGATCACAACAACTGATTCTCTCTTATTGGAACATTTTTGAGTGCTGATATAAGGTGAGTGGAGCATGTGTGAGTACCCCATTTGTAGAAAAAAGCATTATCTCAATGTTAATGTCTCATGGAAGAAAAAGTCACAAGGGATATTCTTGCTTTTCAGGATGCAGATAAGGTGTGAGTATACAAGGAATGTGTGTGTTTCCATTTTTATTATTTTTCTTTCATTTTCACTGTCAACCTTTTCCAACAAGCCTTGGTCTATATGTTAATTGTGGAAGGAAGAATATTGTCCTTGGTGTTATCAAAGCATGCTCACTGGTTTCTGAATAATGCTCCTTTAACAGTGTCGGAATTAGGTGTTTATATATACATCATGGAGATAGCAGAAAAAAGTTTGAGGAATTTTAATTAATAAAGGAGCAACTATCATTTTTTTTTTATACTTTTAATCTTTAATGTTACACTTTACTCCAACTAACATAGAGATAGAACCAAGATTTGTTTTTTTTTTTTTCTATAAAAATTAATTTGATTAACAAAAAAAATTTATAATAACTCACGCACACTATTTAATCAAAGCTAGATCTCTTGATGGAGTCCAACTTTTTTGTACTGGGGCTAGAGTGAAATATTACAAACTTATATTTTAAGAAAAAAGATTATTCAACATAAAACTATATGTTCTTTTATAATACTAAATTTATTTCTTCTTGAATCAACGTTGAATTGTTTAATAGTTTTCTCTCAATGCATACAACTAATTAAACCATTTTTAAGGAAGTCATTTTTTAATATGTTGCGAAGCTAAGTCTTGACAATTTTTAATATGATGCTGCAAGGTGTATCATTCAAGTGCATACTTTGGTCGTGGATTACTACAAGTACTTGAGAATTGTTTTTCTTTAAAAGAAGTATTCAAAAAGTTTTTAAAAGTTTTTCAACCGTGAATTAAAAGTTATTTGAGCCAAGCTTGACAAGTTAGGAGATCTTAGGAAGTTCTAAAACAAACAGAATATGGAGTCTTGTATTTGGTGTTCATCAAAACTTTATCATTAAGGTCGTTTTCATTTACATACTCCTTCTTTAATGGTATTAATACATTGGTTCAATTTTACATGATCAATTTGAGAATTAACATAAATCAATTAAATTAGTTTTTTTTTAATTTTTCATCTTCAACTACAACTGGATCTAAACAAAGGGATGATAAATAAACTTTTATGAGTAATGCTCGAGTTAGTTTTGACTTTAATGAAAAATATCTATTTTGATAGAGGATGAGTACAAGTAACATTTGATTTATTAAATTAGAGACGAGGATAGGGATAGATAATACTTACATGTCCCGTACCTGTCCTCATCCTTGCAAAGTTTAATAATATGTGATTATTTACTTTATTTTATAATTTACTTAAGATTTATGTAATTTTTATTTTATTTTGAATTTATGTTAGATGAAACTTAATTAACATAATTTTGTAATCGTTATTCTATGTTGACATTTTTATTTTTTAGATTTTTTTACAAAATAAGTATTTAATTAATTTTTTGGTGGATACGAGGTAGATACTAGTATACTCGATAGTTGGTAGAAAAGAAAATGAGACAGGAATTTCATACACATTGAATATCAGAGACAAGAATTGGTATATAATAAGAACTTGAAAACAAAGACATAGATATTGTATCCCGCATGTGTCCCACCCTCTTAGATTAATATAAAATTTTGTATATATGATCTAAGAGATATAAACTTTAAATCTAACGGTTGGATTTACAAAATTCATAATTAATATAAATTATTGAGCGATATAATACTTAGTAAAAGTTACACCAGTGTAATTATAACCCTTACATCGGTGTAACTTTTACTAAGTGTTACACCGCTTAATAACTTTATATTAAATGTGAATTTTGAAAATTCAACCGTTAGATTGAAAATCCATATCTCTTAGATCATATATGCCAAATTTTATATTAATCTAAGATGATTTGATACTTCATTCTCATAAAACAAAATTGACGTAATATATACATTTCAAAATATACTAAAATATGAACACTTTGATTACCTTCAAGTTGTTGTTCAATTTTAACAAAATTTGACATATATGATCTAAGAGATATGAACTTTCAAT